ATCCCCCCCCCCCCCCCTCTCCCTCTCCCTCATTTTACCACTTTTTGCATGGTAACTATTATTCCAATTGTAAATTTGCTTTGTTTATATGCATGCAATTATATTTAATTATGAGGGTTTCAATAAAACACTTTTTCCCTTAGTGTGTTCTTAGTATATTTGTCTCCACTTCATTACATATAAGTTGTCTTGGGCAGGTTCACAATTATTTTTATAATCACCTTATTCGTGAACTTGGTGCCAACGTGATTGGCTGATGTTATAAGAGATAGCCACAGAATGGCCCACTCTGGTGTGGAATGAATGATTGATTAATTGATTAAATTTCATAGTCTACAATTCGCAGTTTGAACAGTGTTTTTAAGGTTTTAACCATGTATTATTGACTTTTAAACAACCTCCAGATTAACCTAAGCACTGTGCTGAATGCATAGAATCCAAACATGATTCTGAAATGTTAAAGGGATCATATGATGTTCCTAAAAAGAACATTATTTGGTGTATTTGGTGTAAAACAAAGTAGTTTCGCTTTCACAACGAAACACACAGCGCCTTCATGACATGGCGGTGGTGGCAACAACAATACTACAGCGAGAATCAAAGTTACGCCTTCTTTCTTTGCGTGCACATTTGGGCGGTGTTATGCAAATCTTCGCACATCGTGACGTAGACATGTGGGGTGTGTTAGAACGAGCCGTTTTAGGTAGGCGTGGCTGACTCTTAACTTTTATAAAGAATATCTCTTTGGATTTGAGACTTTAGTCTTTGCAACTTTACAGATCTTATTTATGCACCAAGAGCTTGTAACACTCCAAAGAGAAAGGAAAAATTGAAATCGCATCATATGACCCCTTTAAACGTTCACTGCACTCATTAAGCCTTTACAGATATTTGAATAGATAGTGTACATATGCTAAGATGTCCTTTTTGTGGCTGTTCACCTGGGTCAGCCACATGGCCAGACAAGATAGGTACTTGTTTTCCTTGGGACTCCTAAGGAATTTCATTCTTTTGTTCACACTTCACAAATAAAGACGAACAAAGCAGTTCCTGTGATCAGGGTCATTATGCAAAATACCCACTCACACTTTTTTCATTGTGTGAAAAAGTTGCTATGTTCTCTGTTTGCTGCCCACTATATGATGTTCAGTCATTTCTTGGACAATCAAGATGGTATCACCAATTCATGTCTCTTTTTTTTCGGGAATGGACCATTCCATTAAATGCTCTCAAAAAGAAGGACATTTGTTGGGGATGGAAAGAGGAATGGCAACATGTTTTTGAGAAATTAAAGGTCTCATGCCACCAGCCTTCAGTAAACTCTTCAAAATTCAAATGGATGCAAGCAAAATCAATTTGGATACTGTGTTAACACGAATGTCAGACAAATGACAACACATGATTGCTTCCCCGTTAATTCAAAGAACTAAAACATCATACTCAGTGGGCCGTGGCTGAAAAATAATGACGGAAGTACCTGTACCTCAGTCCAACATCCCAACTGACGAGATGGGCTATCCTTCTCTGTGATTCCACAGTAAAGCAAAGGGCAATCCAATGCTGTTCCTAACTCACTCTCACATAGAATACATATAAGCTCAAGCTCAGAATGCTATCTACCAGGTACAAGGTGATAATAGAAATTTAGCCATCAGTTGGGAGGAAATCAGAAAAGTAGAAATGGCAAGTGCATCTATTAAAAACCTTATGCTAATGTTGTAGATTGGCCAGAGATACATGAGGTTTGGAAATACTGTAAATTGTCCCTAATCTGTCAAACATACAGGCCATGGATCTCCAAGGATATTTACAACCTACATATATCGGTGGTGGAGCCATGCCATGTTGGATACTGAACGTATCGGCACATTCCCAAAAAAGCCCAGGGTTGAATCAATGTCTTCTTGTCATTGTGAATTATTTCAGCAAGTGGGTTGAGCTGTTACCTATGCGGTCCACCAAAACACAACTGATTGCCAGCAGACTCACCAAGGAGGTCTTTACTCATTAGAAAACTATGGCATATCTTCAACAGAACACTGCAGTTCACATCAGACATTGCCAAGTCTGCCGTTTCTTATTTTGAAGAACAAGACTGTTCTACACACTCTATGTAAGTACCTTCATTTCTGTTTTATATAATAGTTGCATGCTGGCTTACAAAATGTGCCTTGTTTGATAGGATGTCACATTATTTTATATAAGACTAAGGTGTTTAAAACACGTGGAAGGTCATCACCACCCTCATTCACTGGTTTTGTCTGTGCTGAGACAGCTCATTCGAGTCCAAGCCCAGGCTGAGACCAGAAGAACTGGAACTGGACCAAATTAACTGGTCAAATTTATAGATTTCAGTTTTGGTTTGTTTCTCACACAACGTTATATGGCACTAGAAGACTTTTAATGCAGCTTTAACTATTAAAAGTAAATCTTTTGTATTCCATAGATACGTTTCATACTGCATTTTTAATTCAAAAGTAAGAAATTAATGTAATATTTCCATAGATATGTAATGTAATCAAATTTTGTGAAATACATTTTGTGATTCTAAGGTAGTAATAATAATAATTATTATAATAATTCAGTAATTTTTCTATTGGATTCTCAATCACAAGCCCTCAATTCCATTACAATCTGATGATGGACTGTCCTATTTCGTCTGAACAAACTATTCACATATAAACATTATAATATAATATAATATAATATAATATAATATAATATATAAACATATTAGCATAAACATAGCCTGAAAGTTACTCAGTCTTGGAAGTGAAAATTGAGGTTAGCGGCTTACTCTACAGTAACTTATCATGAATAAATTACTACCTACTTTTTTGAATATCCCAATGACAGAAACCTGGTGTGCTAAATAAGGGACACATCCAAAATATGCAGTATTGGGATCCTCCAGGGCTGCGTTTCCCAAAAGCATCGTAAGCTTAAGCACATCGTAGATCCATTGAAACCAATAGAGCTACGAACAACGTATGACTGCTGAAAATGAATACTGCCTTCTGCTGGCATTGCCTTGTGGACTGGACCAAGAGGATGTCCACAACCAGACCCATGCTCTTAAAACTGGTTTCATCACTTAGCTGCAAGCAAAACATGCAGCTGGAATTATCAATGTCCCGAACCCAGGCTCAAATCAGCCAGCCTGTTGTCCAGATTTTCCCTTCTTGCGAGTTTTCTGAAAGCCACTTGTCTCATCTTGCCTTCTCAACAGCATCTTCAGTATCTCTCTCCATCTTATGATTGTTATAGCTTCTGTATAAAAGGGAGATCACAGCTTCCCACACCAACATGCCAACACCAGCCTTTGGGACTTAACTGTTTTTTTTGTTGTGTGTACTCTGGAAAGCACCTCAATATTAGTCAAGTTTACTCCTTTTTGGCCATGTATTCACTGTTTTTTTTTGTTCTTTCACCAGCCTTTTAATCCATTGACTCATTGCCACATCCGTTTAACTGTGTATCACCTTAAAGTACACAGAGATAAATGGAGCTATTTACAACGCTCAATTCTCTGATAATTTTTTTTCTCTTCTTTTGGAGATTTGTATCTATGGCTTTAAAAACACTGAAAATCTTTGGGATTATTAGGGCATGGGGGTTAAGAAACTTTTTATTAAGATTTTTTTTTTCTGAAGAATAATCAGACCAATCATTGCACTGTGTTATGAAAATCAAAAAAAATGAAAAACAAGTTTGTACAAATTTGGTTATTGCAATTGTAATTTTACTTTACTACTTGGCCATGCTTCATTCAGCCATTTTTGTTGTAGAGACTAAAAATGTTATCTAGTCAAAGTAGTTCAATTGAATTCATTTGACACATTTTATAAAAATAATAAATAATAATGTAATATAAAGCAGCTACTGTTCAATCATAAGTAAACAAGTTACGTCCATGTTATTTGTAGAAATGGCTCTCAATATAGTCCTTGTTATCTCCGAAATGGACAAAATGTGGGAGCATTGTGAGTTGTACAGTTTACACTTGATGCCTCAATTGGAGATTGTATGTATACAATATGTATATTGTATGTATGATTGTATGCTTTGGGAAACGTAGCCCAGAGGTCCGTTCTTCGTACCTCGCTTAATTCATCTGAGATGATTTGAAAGATGCCAGATCTTCTAATTGTGATAACTGATCTCTGGCTAATTTGGTTCTTCAAACGAAATTGCGGATTTGATTAAAATATATGGATTAAGTTGTCTAAGATTAGACAAGATTAACCAATCCAAGATCAGGCGAAATAGTCAACAATCATATCCAACTGACTGAGTTAGCAACGTACGAAGAACGGACCCCAGGACCAGGATCAAGAAGAACCATCTCTCTAGCAGCACAAAGCAGATCTATAAACAAGTTTACCAAACAATCGTTGTGACTTTCATTGGTTGGACAAACAAATAGTCCCACCCTAAACTCATGGCATTGGTTGAGACAATGTTCCTGTGTTTGGCTGGTCTGAATGCTCAAACAGAAAAATGCTTTGAAAATGAGACAGAGCCACATTGTAACACTTTTCAAAGGAACCATCTATTATCTCTGCACATAAAACTAGGATAGCAGAAAATATTTTAGCATTGCCAAAAATGACGCTTCATTCATCTCTATTTGAAATGCTCATGAAAAAGCCCTCTGCAGTAGAAAGTCTGCAAACTCTCTCCTGCGTATCACACGCTGCATTTTGAAGGTGTTGGACGAAGTACTGGAGAAGGCCATCAAGCGATCTTTCAGTTCTTGGAAAGTTCCGTCACAAACGAGCTGAACTCTCATTGGTCCGATGCTGCCCTTCATCCTGAAGGATCGGTAGATATCAGAGTCAGTGGCAGTGGCAGTGATCTAACTGTTGGATTTAAAAAGCAATCTGGAATATAATGAGCAGTTAAAGAGAAGGGTCTCTTCAAAGTTCTTAAATGAACATTACAGACCTTGTATCTTTGTTCCTCTGAGAGGTTCCTCACACCCTTTAGCTCAACAAACACAAGATAATGCGGCTGAGCTATTCCAGATGCACTGCCTACAGCAAATACAAACAACAAATCAAATCCAACAATTAATGCATTTATTTGCCTTTCAGTATTACATAAAAGATCAACCTTAGGAAAGTTAAATTCACGTTCCAGATTCAATACATCTTAAATTATACTGATGTTTACACAGACAGACAGTCGTAATTCTATCACACTAGTCACACAATAAATTGTAATGACCCTGAAACATTCCTTTAAAATACAAAGGACTTCATAAAAGACAAACATGACCTAAAACGCCGCTCTCAACGCAGCAGTCTATTAGTTTGGCTCCTGGCCACTGTGTCACTGCCCTCTTAAGTGCCCCCAAAAACAGTGATTCAGACACTTTCTCACCACGCACGCTCAACATCTGCCCACGCCTGAACACACACGTCAAACAAACCATTGCACTGAAATGATGATTGATCAGTGCTTCGCAAAATCTCAGACAAGGTACCATCTTCAGTCAACTTTTCCAGAATTAGGCAAAAATAAATCTGTATGTATAAATTTGTAAGAAAGCGTAATGACTGTAGAAGCATTCATAATATATACTGCTGCAAGAGCAAACAGAATCATATTGCTCCAGTCAGAATTTAACACCAGCAAACATCATCAAGTTCATGCATTCCCTACCCATGATCTTAGCGTTGCTAATGCCACACTAATTGGACTACAAGAATGAAGCTACTGCAGAAAACGTCATATCCCTATTCACATTCATACTGCCAAATTTCTTTATATCTGACACATGAAGATATATTAAAAATGTAACAAGAAATTGTAATAAATAATAAAAATGTGTACCTACACTGTAAAATCCAATAGTTTACCTTACTTAGATTTAGTTAGTTATCTTTACTTAGTTGTTATACTTACTAGGTTTTATTAAGTTACAGCTACTTTCAAGGCAAATAAAACTATTTACTTACTGTTTTGAGTGACGCTTACTTATAGACTTTTCACTCATTTCCTCCATGTCTGCAGTTATCTTTCACTAGTTGCATTCACTCGTTTCCCAGTCATCATGAATGCTGAACTTTCAATACAACTGAAATATTTGAGAGAACATCAAATATCATAAATTGATGTTGATTTTCCTAAAAATTTTTTTTTTTTTTTAATGCACCATTATAGTGATTAGCGTTCCCTTTGGTTGGGTACTTTGAACTTGGTTTATGTTACTATAATTATTTTCCTGTTAATGCAGCAATGCATCATGAAGTCAGAGTTAATTGATTTCAAAGGAAGAAAAGTAATTAAATGATTGCTTTTAGAAAGTGACCTATATTATAATTAAAGCATTAATGTGTTTATTAATTAAGTTTCTTGAACTTGATTTTTCATAAATACCTTGAGATGATTTTGATTGTGTTTATATGATCCTTAAATAGTGTGGGGTAACATACTAAAGTCACACACAGACTTAAACATTCAGCACGTGAATCACAACAATGGTAAGAATTCAATTTCATTTATTTTCATTAATTGTAACAATAACCATTTTATTTGCTCTTTTTGTTGTGCTACTACTGACACAAGACAGCAAATAAAATTGGCAAATAAATTCAACAACTGTAAAACAAAGCAACTGTATAATTTATTCATACTGCAATGCACTCTGGGAGTCAGTGAGTAGCTATATTAAGTCATGAGTAAACCTAAATGAAAGGATCAAGTACCCCCTACAGTTCTTTTTTAGTTACTAGAACTCTCGTGTAAGTAAACTATACTAACTAAGCATTTGTCAGTACAACATACTATTCCTATTTCACTTTACTTAGTTTTTTCAAGGCAATCGGTTTGCATGCTTTTTTTAAGTAAGCCCAACTAATTAGATTTTACAGTGTATAGTGAAACTCCACTTTTGGACACTGGTTATGAAACCCAACTACTTTCACAACATCTCCAATGCGATACCTGAAAAACACAAAAGACAGACTTTAGAGAATGTCCACTACATCAGTTTACCAATTTGCTCAATATTTTACTTTCTCTCATTTTTTTTTCATTTTTTAAGTATCCAATACACTAATTCATGGCATCATCTGTGTCCTTAAAGGACAGTGCTCAAAAACAGCATTACAGCACAGCCTGTTCACTGGCAAAGTAACTTAATGACTTAATAAACGCATTATGTTAATAACATTTCATAATTCAGCTTGAGACCTTGCATTTAAGCCCAAACAGTAAGTTTAAAAGTAAAGCCCAACGTATACTTTCCTGTTTTTATGTGTAAGCTAAAGGTATGTGTACAGTGTGCGTGGTGTAACTATCTATTTAAAAAAAATAATAATAAATTCTCTTACATGTGCCTTTAAATTTTTTTTTTGCACTGAACAGGCTGTCATGTCACATTCAAAAAAATGTCCATAACTTCACTTCTGCAAAAATGTTAGCATTAAATGAACATACAGTGACATTTAGATTGTTTTTGCCATTAATAGTAAACAATTAACTTTATTTAAGACTTTTAAGATCTTCACAGACAGATGGTAAAATACAGGGGCAGACTGGGACAACATTTCATGCTTTCTGAAACATGGACAACCCTATTTTTGTATGACCATCACATAAAAAAAGGTTTAAATTTTTAGGCTGGGGACATGCAATATAATTACAAGTTCTCTCCTGAACTGCACCTTGACTTTCATTTTCCTTTTCAATCTATTTATTTTGCCCTGATATCTCAGTCTGTCACATGACTTTAATACTCAAGATTTAACAAAACTATACTTTCTAAATTGCCTAAATGTAAAAATTAGTGTGATAATAACTACATCATTACAATATCTTTATAGACAAATCCTAATACTGTACATGAGTCATATTTTTCCCTTACAAAAATTAACTATGATTTTATTATAGTAAAAGTACAGCAACCATGTTTTTTGGCAAATGGATTACCATTTGTATTTAGTTTTACTACAAATTCCATGGTTAAACTATGGTTAGTGTAGCAAAACCATGGTTAATTTGTGGCTACCATGGTTTAACTATAGTAACCATTGTCTTTGGATTTATAGTAAAACCATCGTTAATTTTCGTAAGGGTTGTGTTGTTGTCTGCCCTAGCTCCCTCTAAACCTATTATAAAACGATATGATTATTTGTCTGCTAAATTACTATTGTAAATTTACAATAGATAATAATGATGCCCTTTAGTATACAGTATTTGGAGTGATGAGTAATGGGCTGCTACTGCTTAAATAAGTAAACAAAGACAAAACTACAATAGCATATTTACATATGAAATTGAGTCCTTAGGACCATTGAGTCCTTAGGACCATTGAGTCCTTAGTCTGGCGGCTGTCCTTCGCTTATTTGCTTTTTGGGGACTAAAAATTTGTGTGGCCGGGAGGCTCTCGCGGCATCCGATGGGAGGTCAATACTCACGGCATCAGATGGGAAAGCCTCGCCGACCGTAGAATAGAAAAGGTAAAGTTGTGTGGCCGGGAGACTCTCGCGGCATCCGACGGGAGATCAATACTCACGGTGTCGGACTGGTAAGCCTTGCCGACCGTAGGATGGAAAAGGTAAGGGATGGAAAGACTGTAGAATGGAAAGGTAAGATTGCTGGGCCGGGAGGCTTTTGCAGCGTCTGACAGGAGTTCGATACTCGCAGCATCAGGCGGCGGTAAGCCTCGCCGGCAGTCGGATGGAATTTAGGCATGGATTTGGGATGTGGATATGGAATACTACTGCAGTAGTGATTACATTAAACGATTTGTTGACCAATGAGGGTTTGGTGGGCTTCTCTGATGTGAAACTGGTTAGTTCTGATGTAGCTTTGAAAAGCTTCTGAAGGCCATCTTCCTAGAGCTTGGATCTGCTGCTTGGAGAGGCCTTTTTGGGCTGCAACGTTGCTGCCCCGATGCGAAAAGAGTGGCTAGAGAAATTTTTTAGAGAAATTTTCACGAATCTGAGATGTTTTTGAAACCAAAAGCGAGTGACGGGTTTTTTGGAGTCATCTAAGAATAGGGGTTCGTGTGGGGATTTAACCTGAGAATTTCTAAGGTGGAGGTACTTGAGGACGGACTGATATGGTTGGATTGGAGAAGAGAGGTTGAAAATGTAGATGAAAGTACCTTTCTTAGCTTGGTCTGTCTTGCTTTGTTTGATTAAGAAAGAAATTGTTTCGCTATCGAGTACGGTTAAATCTGAGACGGTGGGGTTGACTTTTGGATCGAATTTGGAAGAGATGGTGAGTTCCGAGCATCTAAGGAACCCGAAAAAGGCTAGAATGAACATAGCATCGAGTGTGCAGGCAGTACTGAGAGGGTGGTAACCTGTACGGAGGGTGTGGATACATTTTGCGAGAATGTCTAACGTTAGGGGTTGTCTGGAGTCGGGACGGGTGGGCTGGGATTGTTGGATTCCCCTGATTAGGAGGGAGGTTTGTGAATTATTTATTTCCGGCGAGGGAGCGCCGTACATCAGCTTGTGGAAAAATTGGACACCGCTAGAGTAACCTTTGATGGACCCGACTTGGAGACCCTTAACATTGTAAAGGAAAGAGATAAACGAAGTGATTGAAAGTAGCGAAAAATCGGGAACGGTGTTATATGAATGGTGGAATGCCTTAAAGCATCTCCATGCTGTCACGTACGACTGAAGGGTTCTGGGAGAAACTGCTTGAAGAATAGTGTCGAGTGATGCGTCGAGGAGGGGTTTTAACGGGTGAGTTACAGGAACATTAATTCTGAATAGTGAGGTACTGGAGTTGGCAATTGGTCCACCTCTGGAGACAGCGTCCTGAATTTCTGAAACAGAAAGCGAGACAGAGAGTCAGTAATTTGGTTTTCTGAACCGGGAACGTGTTTAGCAATTATTATAAATTGGTGGCACGCTGAGATCCATATTAAGCGTCTTAGGCATCTTAAATTACCTTTATTAATGCACTGCACGGTTGCTTCATTGTCGCAATGCACTAAGATGCTTTTAGAAGCCAATTCTTTCCCCCACAGGAAGGCTGCTAACACAAGGGGGTAAAGCTCGAAGAAGGCTGAGGACTGTGGTGTGCCTTGCAGCTGGGGGGGCCATGGAGACGCGAACCAACGTCCTTGGTAAAAACCTCCGAAGCCGATTGAGGGAGCTGCGTCTGTAAACAGTTGGATGTCGACGGGAGACGAAATGAGGTTGTTACAGAAAAGGGAAAGGCTGTTCCATTGTTTAAGGAACATTGACCATAACCTAAGCTCATCGCGGCACACGTGAGATATGGAAATAGGGTCCTTGAGAGTGTGAACCGAAGTTGCAAGTGAGAGGAGATGCGAGATGAAGGGGCGGCTTTGGGGAATAATGCGCATTGCGAAGTTTAAATGCCCGAGCAGAGAAAGGAGTTCGCGTTTAGAACAGCTTGGGCTGGCGAGGAGGAAGGAGACGAGGAATTGTGTAATTGTTCGACAAAATCCAGCAAACGGCTTCTGATAACATATCGAAAATTTTGGGGCTGCTTTTGGATCCGAAAGTTAAATGAATTGCGAAATAGAATTTCCAGAGCCATCGTATCCCGAATAAGTGCCATGAATCCGGATGGATAGGCATCACTTTGAAGGCAGAAGTGATGTCTATTTTTGCGAGCCAGGCTCCTCGACCCGCAATTTGAATCAATTCGACTGCCTGATCTATGTTGTGGTACCTGAGAGAAGATTCGTAGAGAGGGATCAAGCTATTAATGCTTGGGACCATGGAATTATGAGGTGATGACAGATCGATTATTAGGCGTTTTTTACCCAAAAATTTCCTAGTAGCCACTCCGATGGGGCTGACGCAAAACACTTCAAAGGGGGGTTTATCGAAAGGGCCGATCATGAAGCGTGACTTGACTTCTTTTTTGATTAGGTCGTCTACGATGTCGGGCTCTGCGTGGGTGGATTGGAGATTACTACAGATGATATTTTGGGAAAGCGCGCATTTGTCACCGGGGTTAAAACCGTGTCTGAGGCCGGACAGAAGATAATTAGTGAAATCTCTGTCTGGGTGGTGGGTGAGTTCGATGGTCAAGCGAGAAATGTTCACGTGAGTCGATAGGTAGTTTTTAGATTTTTTATTCACAGCTTTGTACACGGGACAAACGATGCGGGTGTGGGCTCCACCGCAGAAGCTGCAGATGTGTAGGTAGCGGCAGCGCTGTCTGGTGCATCTCCCACTGTTGAACGAGATGCATGGCTGCCTGTTATTTGCTGCAGATGGGGCTCTTTGCTCAGAATCTGAGTTTGCGGTGGTTGAGGATCTTGGCACATAGCTGGAGGATTTCACGGAGGATGTATCTGGGCATGGGGGGTATGGAGGGATTGATTTGTGGGCAAATCATGGTGGAGTGGGCGACTGACTTGCAAACCACACATGAAATGTTCCTGCAGCCTAAGAACACCCTGCTGTGGAGATCCGGATCGAGTGCAGCCCAGTAAGGCTGAACAAATTATCTCTGTGAACCGACTGAATGCAATAGTGAACTTGGAAAAAGAAAGTAATCGTGATGAAAGGGGATTTGGGTTTTTTAAGGTGACTGAAAAATCCCCGCAGTCTATTTGACGGTTTGAGTCGGAAGTGGGCAGGAGGGAAAGAAGTAAAGAAAGATCGACGTCCGCACTTGCTAATATCTGCGTGAGCCGCTTGGGGAGGTTCCGAGGCGACGGCTTTTGGTGGGACGGGCATTGGTGTTGCGGTGAAGAGCAAGTATTGTGATTTCGCTTGGAGGAGAGAGCTGAAGGGGACTGGGGACAGGGCTGTGTTTGACACTGAGTGCAGTCAAGCGCTTGTTTGGGTTGCGAGCTCCAAGCTGAAAGTGGCGGGCGGCGGGGCTGTGTTTGACAGCCAGTGCGGCCAAGCGCTTGCTTGGGCTGCGAGCTCCGAGCTGAAAGTGGCGGGTGGCGGGACTGTGATTGGGGGCGGAGGCGGCCAAGCGCTTGCTTGGGCTGCGAGCTCCGAGCTGAAAGTGGCGGGTGGCGGGACTGTGATTGGGGGCGGAGGCGGCCAAGCGCTTGCTTGGGCTGCGGGCTCCAGAAAGGGGGAGGGGTAAGAGATGGCTGGTGGAAAATGTTGAAAAGTTTGTGCCTCCGCCGCTTGAGGAGGAAACCTTGCGGGTACTGGTGGCCGTGGAAAAGGCACGGGGTTAGGAACAACTGGACGAAAAGGTTGGGAGGCTGAGGGGGGACCAGCAGGCCTGGCTGCAAACAGCGTTGCCGAAGGAGGAGCCGCGGTGAAAGGCTGGGCTGCGGCCAGTGTCACATAAGGCCTTGCGGCGGCGGGATCTGGGGCATTGCCCAGGTTTGCTGACGGCCTGGTGCCGCGGCTTGATGATCGCAGAGAGCTGGGTCTTGCACAGGAGGAAGATGGTGGAGTCAGACGAGGCGTGTCTGAAGGTTTGCCTTGCCTTTTGGCAGAATCGTTGGCATGGCTGAACGATAGGAGGACATCGTGGAGTCGACTGGGGTTCTCGCCGGAGGTGGCGACGGTAGGCCTCGGCGTCTTGGGAGGCGAGTGGCTGCTCGAGCCGTACGGCGCCCACGAGATGGGGCCTGGGGCTCGGTTGCGGTGTCACGCGGGGAAGGAGTGGTCCTGGGGCCGGCTGGTTGCGGCGATCATGGGACCGAAGGAGATTCAGAGTCGTCGTCAGACGGGGGGGTTTGTTTTAGCGTCATAGTAGCAGACGGGCGAACCAAAAAGCTGATAAACCATCGATGGATAGAGGTAAGTCTGCTGTATTTATACCTCTTGGTGTTGATTAACTTGAGCGTGCTCCTCTTGTGTTAATTAGGCTAAGTATCTGACTTGCTCCTCCCGAACTTTGTTAATAAAACATCATTAAATTTATTTGCAATGAAAATTTGCATTTTCATTAGTGGTCTCAGACTTTTGGACCTCACTGTACAGTACCTGTAGGGCTCTGAAGGCATAAAAGACGGTAGAGCTGAAGTTAGATTCCAGCATGCCAAGATAGTGGTCCTTAAGCCCAAACAGCAGATGGAGGTATAAGGCATCTCTGTCATTCAGCACCTACAGACAAAACCAACAGTGTCTTTTAGATTCTATAAATTAGCATTCTGATCAGATCTGCGGTTAAACAAATTGTTATTTTAGTTGGTGGGCTCTTTTATCCAAGTTGACTTCCAGTGCATTCACAGCAGGGTTGTGGACTTGAGTTGCATGACTTGTACTTGACTTGGATTGAAGTAACAGCATAATCAATCATAACAATCAGACATTATCGAGAAAACTTGAGACTCAACTTGGAAAGACTAAAATATTTTCGTTCTGAGCAAAAACTGTATTTTTCATCCTCTTTCCAATGTTCTAAGATCTCCTGTCCAACAGGTTACAGATACAAAAGAAATAAAAGCTCTGAAAATAACATTATATCAGCCAATACTAAAAAAAAAATTTTCAGAGACAGATGCAATTGCAACCAAAATGCTTTTTTTTTTTTTTTTTAATGGTCTACATGGAGTGGTTAACACAGGAAAGAGTGGGACGAGTTTTACTGCAGTAAAGTTTAATGTTTGACCTTCTTTGGATATTTGGTTTAAGACCCATTAAAATCTCTTAATTAATAATTATTTAGCCTATAAATCAATTAAACAATTTAACCATATGACGTTATGACTTTTTTGTTTTTGTACTCGTTATTATTTCATTGATTTAGATCCATTAAACTCCAAGACTCTTTGACTAAAAGATGAAATAAAAATCCTTTACATATTACATTTTATATATTTTCTATATAAGAATCATGTTTGTGATTATTCTTTATGTATGCTATAGAATCAAAAAACTTACATTTTACACTTCTGGATACAAAATCTTGGTGTCATCTGTCCAACATTTATTCAGACCCTCTCTGCTTGCTCTTGTAAGTATTTCTTGACAAACTTTCTTGAGCCCAATTTCTTGAGCCCACTGAGTTTTAACAGACCCCCTAATGCAGGGATGGTAGCTTCTGTGTTGGAGGTACACTGTCATGCAGAGTTTTATGCGTTTTGGCCATTCATTTATGCAACAACAGCATTCTGGGTGCTTATTTGGCACATTTGTTGTAATGTGCTTTGACACTTGCTAAAGGAGCTGAGCTGAGCATTTCCCCTCAACATTTGCTATTGCTAATATTATCACTAAATATCATGTTAAATTCATATTCATCTCCCACTTACCTGATAGATGGGTGCTGGCGTGGTGTAAAGATGCAGCATGTGTTTAGAGGAGGCAGGAGTTGAAGAGTTGGGGCCAATAGGAATACCTGCCTCACTCTGACGAAAAATGGGCGAGTAAAAGAGCTTCAGGGTTTTCTGGAGCCAGCCAGTGGCTGGAAAGGCTTGCCTCATGGCATCTAGACAAACGGTCACCCCCTGCCAGAAAAGTGCACAGAAATAATAGATTTACTTTCATTGATCACAAAATGTGGTAAATTAGCTTGATATTCAACTCACTTGTTGCTAGTTGGTTTGTATTAGCCTATTAATTGTAAACATGCATGATGGAATTTGACTTTGTACCTTCTCCATGTATTTCCCCAGCCTTCTGTGCAACAAATCATATCGAATAATGCATTTGGCCAACAGAAAGACAGGGAAGTGCTTGAGAAATTTGTTTGAAAAGTGCCATTACTTGTGCCATTTAGTGTTTGGTGCCATTAGTAATGCAGACATAACTTTGTACTTGTAACAATGTGTATGTGTTGTGACCTGTAGGAAGAGTTCTGTGTTGGTGTCTTTGGTGCTCAAAAGCATACGGCTGGATCCAGATGTTCCTGATGTCATAGCCAGAATAAGAGGCTTTTCCGGTATTAAAACATTCTGCTCTCCTTTAGCCATACGCTCGACAAACTTTTCATAATGGTCATAATCCGTGATCGGATGGCGCTGTTGAAATGTTTCTGTGTCTGAAATGATACAGTACAATGACAACTGTCATACATTTCATGACAAGATGGTGGCACATCATCTTACTGGTTAATTCCATTTCATAAAAGCAAATAAGTAAAATGTTAAATGCACCATACACAACACTGTACATTTTCTGTATCCTACTGTCAAATATATGATTCTATGTTAATTAAAAAAGTTAACTATATACTACATATTGGTGGCATGCTGTGAGACCCTTCAAACCCTTCAGAGAAAGGGTGAAAAAAAAATGGAATGGTCAAAATATTAAAAAGTTATTACATTTTATTTTGCACTTTCATCAAAATCCTTATGCATTTATTAAATGCATTACTTATTAACTTATTTAAATTAATAAATAATAAATTAATTAATAAATGTCAATGATGTGAACTCGTACTGTTTCCCGTAAACTGTGTTGGAGTGTTTCTGTAGACGCTTAAGCAGAATCTCCTGTTGAACGCGATGAATATCCCGTGTGTCTGCCTCTAGTCTGTTTCTCTGGCGATTCCCCAGCCAGCACACTGCTTTCACAGCCACATATACTGAGCCCGGCCCGGCCACCTCGGTCATTGTGCCCCCTCACCTCTGGTGCCGTCTCCGTAGTGGGCGCCCTGATTTTAGTCGGTGAGGCAAGGTACTGCCCTGGGAAGGTCTCCCAGGCTGTTAAATACACAGATTAAAAGCGAAATGTTTTCATTTCGGTTCGTTCTTAGCAAAAAAAACATTTTTTTTTGTTCAGGTTATTCAGAGCGAAATAAGAACGGTGCTGCATTTAGAAAGAATTCTTATTAACTTTGCTATTATTCTTGAATTTTCAAACTGGTAACACTTTGCACTTTGCAGTTTCGAATTATGCCTTTACTGTATGACCAAAAATTACGGAGTAGTCTATTTTATGTTTCAGCTGTTTGATCGCGCCGGCGCCTCACGCGCACGAGACCCGCTCCACTGTGCCATATTTTTGCTCATCATGATATTTTTCCGTCGATACTGGAACGCGTGTGAACTACAAAGGTGCCTGCCCCCTCACTTTGTGCGCTCTGGCGCCGACCCTGACTGTGCTATTTAGTAGCCTACTTCAAGGCAGTTGAAATGATACCATGATGAATGTCATGAAAAAACATGATTATAATGTTACTTTTTTGATACTGTTTGTTACGGACAAAGCTATAATGAAATGACTATATTTTGGAATCAGAGAAATTGTTGCACAAACTCCCCACATGTAATGGTCACGGTCAATGATGCAATAAAACATGGTAAAATGATCCACAAATAACGCTTATGTGTCTGCATCATTGTGATGGACTTGTAAGTGATTGAAAACTGAAAGCAAACACTGGAAACAACTACTTCTTCTTCTTCCTTTGTGCAACGGTAGGCGCAATTGCGCCACCTATTGTTCGTGTTGATATACCTTGGTCCACACTGCACACTTGCTGCTTAATTTTCTTCACCATAATTCCTTAATTTACACACTCCAGCCCAGAAAGTCAAGACTTTTCTCACTGGTATAATTACGGCTTAATGGTGAACTCATAAATAGGACTAGTAACAGAAGCCGCATACCAGGTGCCATGAAGCTAGCTAAACACACTCAGGGTTACAACATGTGTTAAAAGTGGACAAAACCAAACCAATCAGGCTTTGTACATTCAACCTAATTATGTGTTGCTGAACACCTAAAGTAATGGACATTAATTGTTAATTAGAGAAGAGTACGTACTGCTGAAGTGAAAGTATAGACAACACAAATAAAAAAATTAAATGCAAGGAATAAGATTAAATTATTGGTGTAGCCATGTAGTAAACTGTCCATTTGCCTACACAGAACTTGAGATGCCCCAAAATAGTCAGCACAGAGGGGGATGAAAGCACTCTTGCTACCTGGAAGTGGTACGTTTGATGGATGAGGTAACTGGGGGCAGACCATCTGTGACTCCACCTGTGCTCATTTCCTCATTCTCCCAGGATGCAGCAGCGGTTTCACCTCTCTCTTTGGTGACTCGTCAGACACATGAGAGAAGTGATCTGCATAAGCTCACCCCAAAACGGTGAAGGATGGAGGCCAGTGACATCCTATTTGAGGTTCTCAGAGAGGGATGAATGGCTGGAGGCAGATGTATGTATATATGCCTATTTTCTAGATTTTAAAGTACAGATGGTCTGCCAGTGCTGTGCATAAAATTTAGCTGACATTTTGTTTCTCTCTTCTGCTCCACGTGCAGCATTGTCTGCATGTACTGCAAGTTCATCCTCATAGTAGTCTAAATTTGTCTCTTCTGCATCCATGATGTCATCATTTAAGATGCTGCAATGCAGAGCCGTACAGCAGGCCTCTACCTCTAGTGCATAAATGGGATGAACTTCCAGCACTTCCCGTGCCACCTAATTTTCAGAAACCCAAATGTCCTCTCCACAACACTATATACTTTTGACAGGTGGTGCTTAAAAGTTTGCTGATGTGTGAAGGAATCATCAGATTAATTTGCTGGGACAGACAGGGGTATCCACCATCACCAGCAGCCAATGGATGCATAAAGCCTGGTGATGGGGCTGTGTTTTAACACTCTGGCTTCATGAACATAACATACACAGAAAAGTCTCAATTGTGCAACTTCAACGTCTATATTGGTGACAGTGGAGAAACCTGGAGGGGGACTGACCATGAGAAAAGACCGGTCTACTTTGAACTTGAGTGGTGTTCTCTCCTTGCACTTCTCCACTCATTATGGATTGGCCATGATGAACACCATGTTCAAACATAAGGTGGTGTTAAGTGTATTTGGTACCAATCCACCTTAGGCCAACGAACAACGATTGCCTTTGTTGTCATATCATCTGACCTACAGTCGTATGTTTTGGAAACTTGGGTAAAAAGAGAAGCAAAGTTGTCAACTAATTAGATGGCAGAAGAGGCTACTGCACAGACTTGGGAAACCCAAACAGTTGGTTAGGGTGAACTGGGAACGTTTGTCTAGATGATCTTTTATTATCACCAAACTAGAAAACTACTACATTATTCAAAGGAGCCTGAGGACATGAAGTCCAAGTGGGCCCTGTTTAAAGTCTCAATTGCAAAGGGGGTAGCTTGAAACTGGGCCTGGAAAGTTGTTGGTGCCTACTGTGGCACCAACCTAGGAACACAATGCTGGACACCAATGGTAAAGGAGGTTGTCAGGTGGAAGCAGAAGGCCTTTTAAGATTGCTTAAGCCATGGGACTACTGAATTGGTCCTGAAGGACATATACAACCTTGCATGAGGGCTTTTCGCACCGCGGGAACCTTTTCATAGTACCCACTTTTTGGCATTTTCGCACCGCCGGAACTGGGTGCGATTTTAGTACCGGACTGCCTTTTTCGAGAATCAAATTAGCTCCTACTCCGGAGCAGGGTCTAACCAGCACAACTGGTACTAATCGTGACGTAAGTAGACATTGATTGGCCAAACGTGTACGAAAACACCCTCACCTGCCATGATTTAAAATGCTGTGTATACATACTGTAAACATTGCGTCAACTTATTTCGCAAGTATGGAGAACAGCGATAGATGGACGGACGCTGAAGTGCAGGCACTTGTAGCAAATGTAGCACTCTTCTGTTTCTGTTGTTGAACGCCGCGCACAAATGACGTCGCTGTCGACCGGCTTACGTCACTTCTTGGCACACTGTCGGTGCGAATGCAACCCTTTAAATGGTACTGGGAAATAGTTCGCGCAAAATCGTCCCAGTACTTTAGTACTGTACATTTAGTTCTGGAACTAAAGCGGTGCGAAAGTCCCTATGGTTGTGACCTTCAGTGCTCACTCTGGCAGTTGGGTAGAGGATGAGTTGTTTCCCCAAATGTAGGAGTTTAAGTATCTCGGGGGTTTGTTTACAAGTGAGGGCAGGCTGAAGCATGTGGCCATAGTATTGGAACTTCATAGTGAAAAGGAGGCCAAGCCTTTGGAGGGATTACATATCTCAGCTGGCCTAGAAACACCTTGGAATCCCTCAGGAGGAACTAGAGAAAATTGCTGGGTAAAAGGATGTGTTGGCTTCCCTCCTAAGCCTGCTGCCACTGTGACCCAGTCCGGTATAAGTGGCAGAAAAATGAATAGATGGAAAGCTGCTTTTCAATTTAAACTTAAATTGTAATAATTAAAATGACTGATTCCTGGAGAATTTTTGCAACACTGATGCCTGTTTATTACTGTAAAGCTGATTTTACCCTTCTGAGAAGATAATTACATTGTTGTTTGTTTTAACTAGTACCACAAGCCCCTGAGTTCCTAGAGAGATTCTGACTTGACTTGACTAACTGTACATGGTCAGCTAATAGTGGATGTGTTCCTGAAAACTTTTACAATAGCCTGTAATTTTTTAGGATGTAAGGGAGATCTGATCACTAATACTGCATGAAAATGATGTAATTTTCTTTTGTGTGTTCACATGACCTGCGTCATTGGTTATACACAACGTTAGGATTACCTTATCATCATCATTAACTGAAAATTGCTTTTCCATCAGAAAATGTCCAATGTCCAGTACTGATGGTGTACTGTTAAAGGTGCAGTAGGAGATCTTGGAAAATGCTAACTTTAGCCTGATAGCACTGAAAGCGAACGTCCCACCCTCCCTGCAATCGCCGTCCAAAGCCACGCCCCCTTAACGCATTTACTCTCACAGACCAGAATACCAGAGACAACATTAACCTATTGTACAGAATATATAAATACAGACAAATACATTTAGACCACTTAACTTAATGATTGCTATCAGGATGTGAAGAGACTTTCAACCAGCATAACAAAAAATGTTTCTGAAGACAATCACCTATTGCACCTTTAAGCAAATCTTAACTCAAAACACCAGCACACCTGCCAGAAGAACCAGTTTAAGTTAGATTGTCATTATTTCACAGGAATTTCAGGAATGCTTGAACATGAGGATTATGGTGATCAAATATTTCTGAATAATGACCATTGTCCATGACAACTTTGTAACATTGTAAGTAATCAAACCAACTGATGTGTGACACCTGTTCACTGTCTTTCCACCCTCTCTTCAAGATACAATAATTCAACTCATAACCATGCATTTATATCTTTATTTGTTAGGTAGCCATGTAATAAAAGGGTTAGCGTACTGCTAGCCAATCATTACAGTCCAAAAAAAAATAAAAAGTCCAGGACAACCCCTGCACTTTGTGGCAGGGTCCTGATCACCCCAATCAATGTTAAGTTATGATGACAGGCTTCATCCCTTACATATAGATTGGACATTATCCCTTACATATAGAACTTAATGTAATATTATTTCTAACGATAGGAAAAAGTACAAATAATGTTCCAAAAAATAGATTTTACAGAAAACAATAAGACAGACACTAAAGCCAAGCCATCACATTAACAACACATTAAAACCAAGTTACAGTTGCTCTAAAGACAATACAAGCACAATTTATTTGCATCGCAACAATATATTTCTTTTTAGATATAATTACACTATGGTAATTATCTCTCTCTCTCTCTCTATATATATATATATATTTGTTTATTTTTTTATATATATAAAATTCTGTGTCTGC